GATGTTGTTTCTTTCACGATGTATACCCTGCTATATACAAATCAAATAAAGAAATGATGTTTACCTACAAAAAAAAATAAAAATAAAAATAAAATGTTTTTTTAAAGAAAATTACTATAAAAATTTTTTTAAAATAAATAATAAACAAATAAGAATTTTTTTAAAAAAAATTTAATCAAAATCTTATTAATATTTAAAAAAATAGTTAATTTAATATATAATTAACTAGTAATTTAAAAATTAATATAAAATTATTTCTATATAAAATTATTAGCTTATTTAAAAAGTTTTAATTTGATTTATTTTTTATTTTTTTTAAATTTGAAGATCATAAAATTTTTATTTTTTTTAAAAAAAATCTAAAATTTATTTAATTTATTTAAAAGCAAAAACTTTAATATAGAATGAAATTTTTATTTATTGTTATATTTATTATAAATTTTAAATTGAAACATAAACTTATAATTATTGTATCATTGATTTTGAATTATACACATCCTAACATAAATTACTGGAAATTAACAATAAATATACGACTAATCGAAAAAGTAAATATCATTTATTTCTTTTTTTGATGCAAATACAATTAACAATTTTGCTTATAAAAATCAATTTTTTTATAGATTTTTTTTGGTCAAAAAAATGCGAGACAATGAATTAATAACTGAAAAAAGAAATCAAATAATTGACACTTATCTTATGGATTCAAATGGATTAAAAATATTGGCTATGCTGAATATTTCTCATGCAACTGTATATGATACTATTAATCGTTATAAGAAAAATAGTTTTCCTTATCCTAAAAAAAGATCTGGTTAGTCTAAAACTCTCTTTAAATGAAAACAATATTTTTTACAAATGATTGTTTTAAAAAACAGATTTTTATTACTTGAAAAAATTACAAGAAAATTTAATTAAAGCCTTAATATGATACTTCATCTTAAAACTATTTGTATATATCTTCATAAACTTGGTTTTAGAGGTTATATTACACATAAGAAACCTTTTATAAGCAATAACCAATATATTTCTTGATTAAAATGATGTTGAATTAAATATAAGTGGAGTGAGGAATGGAAAACAATTATTTGGTCTAACAAATTATGATTCATTTTATTCAAATCTGATGGACGAGTAAAAGTATGGAAAAGGGTAAAAGAGGCTTATAACAAAGATTGTATTGAGCCTATAGTTAAATCTGATAAAAAATTTGTTATGTTTTGGAGTTGTTTTAGTTGATATAGGGTTGGACCATTAGTAGAAGTAAATGAAAATATGAATTCCAATGTATATGTTAATGTTCTCACAAATCATTTAATACCATATATTTACAATAGTCCAAATATGATATTATAACAAGATTTGGCACCATGTCATATATCTTCTTATACAAATTGGTGAATGACAACACATAGTATTCCTGTTTTAGATTGGATTTCACAAAATCCAGACTTGAATCCAATTGAACACTTGTGGAATCATCTTGACTGCCAATTTCGAAAAAGAAAAGCTTTAACTAAATCAAAGCAAGATTTAATTAGAGTTGCATGAGAAGAGTGGGCAAATATTCCTATAGAAACTTTACATCATCTAATTTTAAGTATTCCAAAGCATATTAAAAATATTATTAAGGTTAAAGGCGAACATATTAAATATTAAGTTTTTTTTTATTAAAATAGAATACATTTTTTTTTTGATACTATAGAATATATTTTTGTTATTAAATAAAATAAAATTCTTTATTTGAATTTTAAGAATCGACGTTATTATTTATCACATGATAATTTCCGGTAATTTATGTTAGGGGTGTGTATAATACAACGGTTTATTTTTTTAAAAAAAAAATTTTTATAGTTAAAAGTATTGTGAATATAAGATAGTTAATGAAAATTTTACGTTAATTAGTTTCTATTTTAAATAATTTTTAAAATTTAATAATTTTATCTTAAAATTATTACATATTCTTTTTCTATTATTTGCTTTGTTTTTTACCAAATTATTTGAAAAAACACATTTACATTTAATCTATTTATTTTTTCTCTTTCTTACGTACTTATTTTGAATATTACAATGCATAAAATAAGACGAATTAAACCGTTTGTTTGTGAATTAATAAAAGACTTTTTTAAATAACATTTTAATTTAAACTTAAACTTTATTTTTATACAAAGTTTTAATAGAAGCAGGCATATGGAATATATTATTTTCGTATTACCGCATAATATATATAAATTATAAAAATGATACAAAAATTGTTATGTAACGTTATAAAGCTTCATTTTGAAATTCAAAATCAAAGTGTCCTAAATTAGCATGTTTTACGTGAAAACTGGTAGAGAGATCTATATTTAAACGAAAATTTAATTTACGGAATAAAATAAAACGAATAAATTCTTTTCAGATTTGCCAATACGCGTTTCATCGATTGAAAAAATAAGAATGCGGCGAAATATAAAATCGAAAGTTTGAGCGAAGGTAATAATCGAAATTAAGTTCTAAATTTTTTGGGAATTATTTAATTCATTGTTGTGAGTGCATGCTGAGAGGATCCTGGATAAATATAAATTGACGAGGAGGGATAACAGAACATCTCCCAGGTTCGGTGTATTCATAAAAAATCAACTCTTTCTTCATATTTTCTGAATAGTCTTTATACCATCCTTTTACATTAGCGGGCTCTTTTTTCCAATGTCTAGATGCATGTCTAGACATTTCTGCAAGAGTTAATTTTATTCCTCTTTTGCCAACCATTTTCGAGAAATGCCTCCGATAAATTATAAACGCACCACACTTTTTTTTGGATTCTAGCTGCGTCAGGTCTGGTGGGAACGGCAACTCAATCGAGAAATTTTGTTTCATTTCAAGACGAACTTTACTAACTTCACTTCTAGAGTTCTTCATGTGGACGCGTTATTTCCCGCCTTTAAAAATTCAAATCCAAGAGATATATATATGCTTTTTTTCTCATCAACATATTAAACAAAGCATGAGAAATCGGGTTAAGTGCAGCAAAGGCCTTTTTTCTCCATAATATTTTGTCTTCCTAATTTAATCATCAATTATTGTGAAAAGGTACCTTAAAAAGTATAAGTTCGGTATTAAGGTTGTTCGAGAACAACGAATCTACTTTCTTTCAACATATACGAGAATTTATTTTTTAATTCAGCCACGTTTTCTTTCATTTTTCCAAAAACCTTTCATAACTTTGATTTATATTTATAAAGTCCCGACTATTTACGTTCCTTTCTTCGGAGAATGCCGATGTTATATATTACATTATTGAAAAGTCCTATTTATGCATTTTCTTTGACGCGTAAAACAAAACACAAAATATTCGTGAACTTTCTATCGCAGGCATTTATTTTTAACTCTTTGTTAGTCGGGTTGTGGACTCCGATTGTCCACCTAGCCTATGCCGCAGAGTGGAGCGACAAATATCATGTTTGAACATAGAGGCGGGAAATAAAATTTTTATTATGGTGGGTTCTATTACAAATATGGATCGTGATATTGGTTGTGCATGCACTGTAGATAATGACGTCACACTATGACGTTCCGATTTACCAAAAAATGATTTACCGAATTTCATGCTTAACGAAAAATATTAATTTTTTTAAAATCGTTCAAAATTAATTACTATTTTTTTTAAAAAAGATCAAATTATGGTTTATAGAATATTATTATTATAAAGTAGATAAGTATTATTTCTTTATATTGCATAATATATTATATATTTTGAAAAAAACAACTTATCTTAATTGTGTTTATCATAAATCAAGTGTCCATTTAATAAATTAAATTGTTTGGTTATTGTTTTAAAAATACTTATTAATTTTATTTAATTTTTTTATTGATTCTTTGACTACTATTTTAAAGTAATATTTAATGGTTTTTTTTTTGTTTCTATTTAATATTTTATATTACATTAGTGATTATTTTTTTTGATCAAATTAAATTTAATTGATTTAATAATCAATTATTAAAAAATTAAACTTATTTTTTTACTTAAAAATAAAATAATAATAATAATTTTATTAAATGTTATTGATATTAAATTAATATTTTATTTTATGATTTTATAATTTTAATTAAATTTTTTATAAATTTTTTAGATATTTTTATTATTTTTTAATATATATGCTTTTTTGTAATTATTTAATAAATTTGTTTATTTTTAAATTAAACATATAATATAAAAACTCTCTCCTGATCGCGTCCGTTTTGTTAAAAATTTTCCTTTTATGGTAATTTTAAGCAAGAAAAAATG